CACTCGGTAGATATTCATGTATAAATCAATTTTTAAAAGGGCGGTAGAATGGACAGAATAATGTGCAAATGTTTCCACTTTCTACGGATATGTTTAATATATAATTTTTTTTTTTTTTTTTGGTATTTTTTAGACGATTTTTTGGTCTCCTCTTCCTCAAGAAACGGATCTAAAATAGACAAATACTCTTACAGAAAACTAAAATCTCTTCTAAAACGTTTACAATACTGTTTAATATATCTGTACATGTCTTGTGTTCTTTTTTTTTTCGTTGTATTTTCCTAATGATCACCTTTGTCAAACGTTAAGCGAATAATAAATAACTCCGTCTTTTTTAACTTGTTCTCCGTCTTCTACTGGATATAAAGAATCGAATGATACTTTTGGTGAAGAACTGGCGCCTTCGGGGGTTCCCCTTTCGTCTTGGCACGTTGATTGATTGGTTTGATCCAATAAGTAAAAGGGATTGGATAATTTTCTCTCTTTTTCGTACCACGAACTGACGTTTTCCGAATGCGAGTAATATCTCTTGTCCTTGATGAACTTCTTGTCGGTCGACACTATCTGGTTGGCAGGTATGGTCATATGGTGCAACTCTCTTTTGTTGGCGTATGTCCATATCATGTGTCTGTCACTGGGCCTGTTGTGTTGTAAGGGAGGAGACTGAAGCTGCGTTTGGATCTGTTTGAGTATTTCTGTGGTGGAACCGAACCTAGGCCTTATACCTCTGACGGAGGGCCTTCTGGCGAATCCGAAAGTGGGATCGTCGTCTTCTTCGGCTACGCTGTACCTCTTGCGTATTCTTTCGATTCTTTCTAAATCTTGTTGCACGAATCTTTCGAGTTCGTCGGAGGCACATCGAGGACTCTGAGATCTAGTTTTGATTTGTCTCAATTTAATTTCGATCCTCTGTTCTTTCTCGTTTCCTCCGGGAATTACCCTAATGCTCTGGTTAGCTTCGTACTTGACGCTTCCGTACGTCGCGTGATGTTTCAGACTCTGTTCGAAGTGTGCACGAAATGCGTTCCTCTTGGTTAATGGCTGGATCCGGGCTAAATCCTTTAATTTTGGCATGACCGTCGTCAGTTTGACCGTCCTCTGGATTCTTGTATCGGTGTTTGCGGTTTCGTAATCGGATGGTTTCTCGCGATCGTCGTCCACGCTCGTTAACCACTTCAATTGTTCCACCAGCGACTGAGTCGATAGTAAAGGCGATTTGGGTCTCTTCACCTGTCTCTTTTTAGCTTCGATCCCCTTGAGGAGAGTACAGGTAACGGCATTCTTCTCCATTATTCTACGTATTTGGGAATTGGTTCTAATAACACCTTTGGCACTTTTTAAATCCTCGTCTTCGCTATCGACTTCTGCTTCACTTGTGACGATTTCGTCCGTCTCCACAGACCTAACCGTCTCCTCCTTCGATTCGGGCGTGTTTGGCACATCGTTCGATTCTAACGCGTTTGGCAACTCCGAATATATTAATTCCGAATCTAACGAATCTTCTTCTAATTGTTTTAACAGTCCTAATTCTAAATCGTAACTATCGGAAGCTTCGACGATTTCGTCGTCCGTGCTAACGTTTTCTTCGGTACAACCGAAATCGGTCCTTATTTCGTTTTCGATTTTAATATCGTCTAATTTTATGTCTTTACCGTCATCGTCTCCTTCTTCCTCCACGAAACTGGTCATCTGTTCCTCCCAATCTGGGGCTTCTCTCTCGTTATCCGTGTCGTCTCCCGATACGTCCTCCGAATCCTTATACCCTTCGGGTGGCTCGAAAGGCAAATGATCCTGATATTCGGGTGGTGGTTCGAACATACAAAACACATCGTTGACTTCGGGTGTACGTAAAGACAGAACATGTACCTCGTCGTCCGTGTAGTAAGTCACTAAATCGTCAAACGTCACCCTACGGTGTCTTATGGATTGACGATTGTGGACTTTCTTCAATAATGATTTTAAGTGTTGCTCTTCGGGCATTTTACCTTCTTCTTTATTCAATTGAGCATCTTGTGAGATAAACTCCATATCCAGGCAGAGGCTACATCACTTTTCTCACGTTGGTGTAGGAATCGATCGTGGTGCACTACAAACCCGGATCTTGGAATGGTTCATTCCGACTGCGAAGGTGGGAAATGACTATCAACAGATAACCGATTAGTTCCCTTAGCTGATCGATTAGTCTCATTTTATTACTTCCTGTTGTTCCAAGATATTTCATTTTATAGTCCTTCCAATATTTTATTTCATTCTATTGCTTTTTTTCTAACCGGGCCGTAAATATGGCGTTGGGTTGTTCCCATATTTAATTTGGTCGTTGACCTTACTTCGGTTATATACGGCATTATATATATGTATATGCATATAAATTGGAAGTTTATATGGGGAATTTTATATTTAAATTTTATAAATTTACTTCTAGTTGTTTCTTAATTAAAGAAATTCCTCCATATTTAAATGTGTGGCATTTACAACCCCAAAAATCTATCTGAAAATATAAAAAATAAAATATCCAAATTCAGAAAGTAAAAAATTTTTATATTTATAAATTTCTATACAATTAATTTATAATTTAAGATTAAAAATTTTTTTTCATTTTTTTTAAATTAAAAATAAATTTTTTAAAGATAAACATTAAAAAAAATATATATTAATTTTATAAACGGTGGCTGTCTATAATTGATTTAGTCTGACATAAATATTTTAAAGTCTATATCAACATTTAAAAATTAAAATAAATCAATAAAATGTTGACGAAAATAAAACACAATTTATTAATAATTTATTTAATATATTTACGTTAATTTTTTAAGAACCAAAAAAAAATAATAATAATAATTAAGAATAAATTTATTTTAAATTTGTTTATTTGAAAATGCTGAATTTTTCTACACACGAATTAAAATTGAACAATATATTACAACATTCCACAAATGGTTTGCATCAGTTCAATATAAGTATACAACTATTACTTAGTTTCTTTGACTTTGAAATGATATACATATATATAGATATATGTATATTACAGCAAAACTTATTGCTTTTCAAAATATATATTTTAGGAAGATATATTTATTTGTATCTAGAGATAAATTTATGCCTACATTGCATATGGAAAACTCTTTTATTTTAATAAGACTTCGGCCTTCCAAAAATATTAAGGGAGTTCTTTTATGGTAAATGGCTCCAAACAATATCTCGGATGAAAACAAATTCTGTTTCATAAATTTTAATATAAAAAACTATATTAAGCTATTGAAAAATAGTTTTTCTTCTTTGTTTTTTTTAATTATATTTTTACACAGCTTCGTTATAATTTTTCATTTATTAAAGTAGAAATTGTTCTTTTTTTTTATTTTAAAGTTAAACTAATTAAATTTAAAAATATGTTTACGTGTTATTTTACAATTGCTCTCTTTAACGTTAAGTTGATGTTATTTTGAGCTATGAAACAAATAATAATCTAGGTAAAATGAATAACTGTAATATTCGGTTTGGGGGTGTAATCGAGAATTTGAAAATATTGCGGTTAAATTTACATGACATTTTTTATATCATACAAAATAAATAAGTAAAATCAATCTCTAATGGTGTCGAGTGTCGTTACGTAATTTCTTTGGATATGATTCGATCCATATATGTCACATTTCTTTAACGATTAGATAAAATTAAAATGCAACCGCTTCGTTTCTATGCAACAATAACTCTATAAAAGTCTCGAGAACATTTGTATACGTAACGTTCCTATAATTTAATTGTAGAGAGAATTATTTCTGTAATTCTGTGTGTTCGGTCTTCTGTTTCTTTTTGGCACGGATGTCGGCCAGTGTCTGTTCGATCGAACGTTGGTCTCTCTTGTTGTCGCTGGGAACTGTTAAAGAAATGAATGGAATGAAATTAGAAACAGTTTTTGGAATAGATTTAATTAAAAAAAAAAAAAAAGTTCACCATTTATAAATAAAATAATAATTGGAAAGAATATATATTTCATATATATAAAAAGAAATATTTAAAGAGAATTCTAGTTTATATATTTTTGAAGATTACACTTCATGCAGGAATGCTGTCATATATTTTGATGTGTAATTGGTATTTGTTATGATGCTGTTCTTTGCTGAATCATGGATTTTAAATGTTGTTTTTGGTATGAATATTAAGTCTATTTTCATCAAGAATCATTGCTTAATATTTCATATTTACAAATTCAAAATAACTACGAAAAAAGAAGAGGAAGAAAACAAACATGCACAATAAAAACAGTAAAAATATTGAAATAAATTATAAATTTCATTAAAAAACATGATAATGATACAAATTAAATTATATTTTGAAACAGTTTAGTGGTAAGTACAAATATTTGTATAGGTTCAGGAAGTGAAGAAAATCACAATTAAAACAATGATAAAAATCAATATCTACATCATTCTATAACATGTTAAACAATTTAATGTACAGTACAACAAACAGAATTATTAATTCAAATTTGCAATATATTAAACTGTTTATCAATTTCTTTATTTATCGAAATGAAATCATCAGCTTGCTTTCCTTATGAATATATGTCTGCTAGAATTTTATTTTTTATATCCATACATAAATAAAATCTATAGATATACATATATCAAATATAATAAAGGTTTTTTCAGAAANTATTGATATTTAACTGCAAACTATAAACAAATGGCTAATAATAGCAAATGCTCGATTCTTCGGAATATTCTAAAAATAAAATTAAGGGTTCTTGTAATTTTAACAGTTTTTAAATATACAAATTACAAATGCTAATGTTTTTTTTTTTTTTTTTCTAAGAAAACTGGGCTTATTGAAGAAAGATTTTATATTGTTCATATATACATTTTAATATATATTAATTACAACTTATAATTGATCGAAGGTAATTGTGATTCTGTGCAAATCTACGATTGACATTAATAACCCGATTTGCATAATGGTTTGCATTCGATACAAATTTGAGCCTTTAGAAATTTTAAAAAAAATAATAATAATTTAAAATTTTATATTTTCTATTGGTTCTAGCATCAGTTAAATATATTTTTACATATATTTAAACAGCATACAAGATTTAGATACAGAATATTTTCGGGCTTGTGTATTGAACTTGGTATGTAAATCGATAATTATAGAATTAAGTATTCTAGTGGGGATTATTCTAAAATCACTAGTTATAGTTAATAAGCACGAATATTCTTAGAGGAAAGTTATTAGCAAATTCCATTCGCTGACACACCCGATTTTTCATTAAATTTAACAAAATAATCTTTCTTCTTCACAAACTTTTATTAAACAAAACCCTAAATCTCTCTCTCTCTCTCTCTCAAAATCGAGATTTCAAGAACGAGGACCATAAGACCCTTTGATTAAGGTCCACAATCAGGTAGAAAGAGATGGGGCCCTACATACCCCAGACAAAAAAAATTCCTGGGGAAATGTACGCCCGGATTCGATTCCGGATCCCACAGAGACTCGGCCATCCCACCGAATTATACAATTTATTATTTAAAATAATAAAATCTGTGAAATAAACTCAGCCAAAGCCCTGTGTATCAGATAAAATGCCCATTAATTATGCTAACAAGAGTTATTTTAAAGAGAAAAAAAAGTATAAAACAAGAGTTGAAAGGCAAATACAACTTGACACGCTGATAACTGGATTGCTCTCATGGATTATTAAAAGTAACTAATTAAGTAAATTAATGATTTACTTGATAAAATTACTGGCAAATTTCCGAATTACATGGAAAATAAGTGTTCCAAATTCTTTTCATTACTATTTTTTTTTCAATTTTATTTTCTAAATAAATTTATTGGGAATCTCTCTGTTTTTATTACCATAAAAAGATTTTTTATAGTCTTGTAAANAAAAAAAAAAAAAACATGTACAGGGAGTAACTTCTTATCAAAAATCGTTAAAGTGGTTCATTTTTTTTCATAAATAAATGCTTCTAGTACCTTACAAACTAATAATTTACTGTAAAAATATTGTAATACACAATTACAGTTAAATACAACACGTAACTGGTAATTGAAAACACAAGGATACACGTGGAAGAAACAATTAAATTCGCGTGCCATTGTTTAATCTCAATTGTCTATGATTTATTACTCTAAAAAATGTAGTAAAAAAATTAAAAAAAAGAAATTACGTTTTCATAAAGATCACTTAACAATCGCACGCACTAATTCTTCCTTTCTAAATTAAAAATAAAAATAATAATAATAATAATAAATTAATTAAATAATACACTAAAATTTCGTAATTAAAACTACGAATTCTAATTAATAAATTTTATTTAATATTTATCTAATTTGTATCGAGTTTTAAATGACAAAACTGTAAAATATATACATTTAATAAGTTAAGAATCGACCAGAGATTAAAGAAAAGTAGAAAGAACAGCAAGGTTTATGCTTGAAAAACTTATCATTCAGACGGTAATTGTCATGTAAAATCAACTTATTTCCACTATAAAAAAAAAGTTAATTATCCATATCTATCACGGCATGTGTTCCTCTGATATTATTTATATTACAATTTTTGATTTCGTCCTATTATTACTAGACATAAGCAGCTCGACCAAATTTAATTCTAGCAAACAAACTGTTTATTACTTTTCTAGAAATGTTATAATTAAAAAAAAAATAAAAAATTATATATAAACATACGTTTTAGTGATATATAAATATATATATAAATGTAGTAGAGTGGTGGAGAAATTTATCATCTTTCATAATTACTTTCTTTAATATATGTACTAATATTAAAATATATAAGAGTAATGTAAATGTAAAGTCCAGACAAATTTATATTTGTCTGCAGTGTTATCATTTAAAATCATAACAATTTTCTGTAAATGCTTTCTCAAAATAGTTCATTGATCAATAATTTGTATCGGGATGAGGTTAAAATCAATTTAATTCTCTTTTTTTTTCCTTCCTTCTCCTCCTCCTCCTTCTTCTTTCTCTTATTAAAATGACTTTTTTAAAGTTATAAACTTGAATATATCAATTAATAATAGTAAAAAAATATATAAAAACAATTTAGAAATTGTTATACTTAAAACTCTTCCATACTTAACAATATATTGTTTTTAATTATTTATTTATTAAGGATTTTGTGTGTATTGTTCACCTTAATTGGAAATAAAATTATAAATAAAATTCTTAAAAATTAATATATTACTTTTTTTTTTGAGAATTTATTTATACTTTTTCCTTCTTAACTAAATAATATTTTTGATTATTTTAAGAAGCATTTATTATTTTTATTCCTAAAACTCTTACATAATTAACAATAATAAATGCTTCTTAAAATAATAATAAAAAAAAATATTGTTAAGGAGGAAAAATCATAAATAAAATTCTTAAATTTTTATAATTGTAATTAAAATCATAAGTATTAATTATTAACAATTTTAATAATAATAATAATAATAATAATAATAATAATAATAAATTAATAATTTATTTGTATTTTTTAAAAATTAGAATTTATTTATTTTTATTTAATGACCATGAATACAAACAACCAAATGTTATTTAATGCTTAAAAAATGTTTAAAAATCTTATAATAATGGTAATTTTATCGATGAAATGTAATAAATATTAGGTAAAAAAATATATTTTTTATATAAAAAAAAAGTGATAATAAGGAAAGAATCCATCATAAAGAAATAAAAAAAACTGAAAGAAAAAGTCAGTTTGTATATTAAAAAAAGGCTAAGAAACATCAAAAAAATATAATAATAATAAGGCATAATATAAAAAAATTTAATATTTTTTTAATAAAATATTTTATTAAATAATTTTTTTTTTTAAAAAAAGCCTTAACCATATTAAACAAAATTCAATTTTTTAATATCGAATTTCATATACACATCATCAAGATAATGCATTTTCTAATCCCTAAACTAAAAAAATATAATATAATAAATCCGTTTAGGAAGCTTTAAAAAGTCATTAAAATTTATTTTCATCTTCTAAATAAATTTTAATTATATTTTATATTTTAAATAAAATAAAATACAATACAATTTTTATTTACCTTTCGGTTTTTAAGTAGAGATTCGCGTTTTACTTTCTTTTCTCTAAGAAGAAAAGTCTTTTAAAATAAGTTTATAAAAACGTTTTACTACGAAAAAAAAAATAATGTGTTGTAGAAAAAGAATTTTTAGTTTATAATAAGTTTGCGTGACGTGATTTCATCGTGAGATACTTTAAATCGGGCTCGAATGCGTTTTCTATCGATTATTACGAGGAAAACATCTTGAAATTCACGAAAACATTCGCTCTCCTTTCTACAATTTCTCTAAAAATCTCGATTAATTATAATATTAACTTATATAATTAACATTACCACTGATTTCTTTCGCTTTGATTATAGTAATAATAGGTTAATTTTAATTAAACGTAGTAAAACGCAATTAACTTCTCTTAAATTAATTTTAAAAATCGTACCAAAAAAATAAATAAAATAATTAAAAATTTATATATTTTTTTGTTTTTTTTTACTCGGATAAGTTTATATAAATTATAAAATAAGTTTAAAGTTTTAAAAATTTCTCTATTGATTGAGTAGTGTGTTCATGTTTAACGTCAAACGTGTACTACACACGTGACAGGAAACGTTGTTTAGTTTGCTCTTCTTCTTCTTCTTTTTATTTTATTTATATTTTATTCACGAAAATTGTCTAGTGTAAATTGTATTTCTGTTAATGAAAAATCTGTATATATATATTTTTTTATTTTCCTATAAGGAACCAATGGAAATTAGCACAGACATTTTTATTGTCTATAGCAGATTATCACCAGTGCTTCAATACAATTTTTTCGTGTTAAGTTATATATATAAT